CTGAGAGCTGACAAGGAATCAAGCAAGCAATGTCTTACCACAATAAAGTGCCATGAGCTTGCCCTTTTAACCGCCATGGCAGTTGTTAGACTGCGAAATGACCGAAATGTAAAATACCTTTACCACATAACCGTAGGAGAACGACGGCAGGTTACAAGTTAAAAAGGAGGAAGGTTGTACAGCTTTCATTGTATGACTTCCGTGAACTGCGACGACTCTTTCGAATGCTGAAATAGTTTTTCCACTTTTTGTGCTGTTCCAAAAGCTGAGCATAACTTCGGCAGGTGGTTCCTTGCAACCAATCAACTGTTAACATAAACAACAATATCAGTCTCTTTTGACTGCTATGACGTATGATTATGTGAAATAATTATACTAAATGATAAATTATACATTACGTATGGTTAAGTGATAAAAATTTAGAGGGACATACCCGAAGCATCCTTCAGCTTCATTTCTAAGTCCTTCATATCCAAGTGCTTGTAGCGAAACTTCTGAGCTTTGCTCAGGCGTATGCCATCAATCAGCGACGCATGATTCAATTCGTCCGATAGGATAGCGTCTTTTTCACCTAAACAGGTCATCAGTCTAGACAATCTGCAAGTCTGAAACTTAGCATAAAGTATTATGCAAGGAGACAACCAACTAATATAAAAGTGTACTGTTCTGAATCACAGGTTTCACATTAGTAACAGTAATGTGTACGGTGATGTTTCCGCGTAGTTTGAGGACAGACTCCTAGAAAACAGCGAAACCACAGTAAAGTAGCGACGTAGGGGGCTACGAAAAGCAGCATACTGAACGCGGTCTTCATGGAAACTAGCCACGGTAATGAAAACACAATGCCCAGATTGCCATATTTACTCATTAGAAGATGCGTATCTAATCTCTAACTAAATGATGCGCTATTAACCTAGCCGCATTTGCCGTTCATGGTTTCTTGGTAAAAACAACGAAAATGACAGCCATGCAATAAGCAGTTATAATCAGAAGTAATCACTGATATACACACACTGCTGCAATTGGCGTGGCATAATATACTACTCTCTTAAAGCATCGCTGGTGCCTATTGTGGGTGGGTGGTAGAAATGAACTGTCGACACGAGCAGTAACGGCGAAGCCATATCATTGAAAAAGTTTCAGTTCGAAGCGGATCGTGTTATAACCAAAGTTTAAGTTATGACATCGACGTAGTTAACTAAAGAACAATGGAAATTAAAGTAGAAACCCGGCACTTACGTATATATTATTTGGAATTTACTATCTAAGATGATTAGAATTAAAGAACATTTTATGCGTATTCATCCTGTTTTTGACTTACCAAACATCTCACCATAAACAACTCAAGAATATGGATAATATTACAATATACCTTTGCCGATAAAGTATATGCTATGTTTATAAGTGAAATATCTGCCATATTTAACGAGACTATTTCCTCTTATACATTACGTACTATTAGAAAGCACGATTCATCCTTCGAAACAACGAAAAGGATGATGGTACTACTATGTAGACAGCCGTTTGTAGAATCAAAGCAAATGCTCATCTAAGGTTGTCAGATTTAAATATTTCTTATACGACACCGATTTACAAAGAATGGGTTTCTTTTTTACGTCAGATAACGTTTCGGGTCGGAAAGTGCTCAATTCTTATTCCTAGAAATTATCGGGTTTGGTCTTTCTGGAGCAATGGAATACTTTCATTTGAGGCAGCGATTAAACGGTTGATTCTATTACTGCATGTCAGATGCAAAAATGTTTCCAATGAAACTGCGGCGTTGAGTCTCAGCTGTCTAAGAAGTATGCTTCGAACTGCGGGGTTTGCGGGGTCAACTTCGCTCGAGAGCAATCTTAGTCTTTCTGAAGAATTGCCTTGAGCAAGGAATTTACCACACATTCCTTCAAATCGAGGTCAGCCCAATCGGCAGAGAGTCGAACTCAGAATCGATAGGTTCTTAGTCTCTGCCCCGGACAGGCTGACTCGTCCCTCTTGCATTTGAGATTGATGAGTACCACTCTGTGGAAGTGTAACAGAAGACTAACAATGCCATATAACAAAAGAATGCGTCTTTAAGAATAAGGCACTCCTAGCAACCTGTCCGGATCATGGACAAGATGGCAGAGAAACGGAGACCAGAACACCATCATCCACTTCATGAAAAGAAGGGCGCAATAAAGGCGAATCATAAAAATAGAGGAACACCGACATTCCAACGGTGACAAACATTCCTTTCTTTTCCCTTCTGGATTGTAGCACCTCTCTTCAACGTGCTCATAGTGCGGCACTGATCAGTCATAAAGCTGTCAGTCAAGGAAGCCGTATTTTCTGTAACAGTGTCTACAGCTATGTGACAAATAAAGCTGGTAGTCCTCTGTTTCGTAGACCTACTCATGGAAGACCGATATTCCCCGTTTACAAACTTCGCTTTTCTTTACTCGTTTCATCCGTTCAGGATAGACAGTTCAATATCCAGTTTCCTTGGTATTCGAAGCAAATACTGAGGCAGTCCTGCAAAGAGCCTTAAGATTTGGACCGATGGCTGGCAGTAACAATTTTTGCTCTTCTTGAAATGCAGTTAGTTGCTGGCATCCGGCATGCAACTCTGGATATTTGCTGATATTATGTAACAACGTGAATCCAGGAGACATGACGTATAGGCGATCAGCGTCCAACACTCAACCGTCCGGAAAATGTGGTTGTATAGCTGCATAAATGTTCATTCTAACCATAATACATGCCCAGTTATATAAATAGTATGTTGTCTACACTACATATACTATTATATACAAGTTCTTACTAGTTAAAACTTCGAAAACTCCGCCGTTGGCGTCAAAACATGAAGCGTAGAGTATGGCGTCCTCTCGTCCGTGAAATTTTGCAATGTCTTTCTCGAGTTTCCTTCACAGCAAAAACGAAACGTGCGTCATTATTAGAGGTAAACTAGCACAATAAACATCGTACCTATGAATATCTTGGGTACCGCAAATGAAACGGACAGAGCTGAGGCCAGCACCATGAGTCTCCAATGCGTTTTTGCCCCCTTCGATGACAGCCGGGTGGCTGCTCAAACCAAGATAATTGTTGGCACAGAAGTTGATCACCTTCCGCTTTGATCCGGCGACGTCGATATGCACGCCCTGTCTGCCGACGATCACTCGTTCGGTTTTGTACGTTCCCGCGTTCTACAATATTTAATGCATGTAGTGTTGAATATAAAAATACGTCATATTTAGCTAAGCCATGAATACCATTACAGCGTAATATTGATCGCATCAGCTTCTTATTAAATAATAACTCATGAAACACCTGATGCTACATGTATTAAAATATGGGATTTTGCGGAAAAACGGCGACCACCAAAGAACACAGTATTAAATGACAAAATCTTACTTCCCTGAGTTCGTAAGTACTGAATCAATGATGGGACGCTGATTTCCAGTACCATGTTATC